AACAAGTGCAAAAATGGCTAGGGGTCTCCGTGCAGCCGCAGTCGATTTCCATCCAGCCGAGTCCCATGTTGATCACCCAAGTGTCTCGCTTCCCCGAGATTGAATTTAACAGAAGGGCGGCGACTGTGAATGACGACAAACCGAGGGTCCAGCACTGCGAACCCAAAAGCAGCCGTTCGAGCCTCAACTAAATCATGTGCACTTGCTTGCAATGAATGCTACACGGCAGACCCCGCATCAAGCCCCAACTTGCAGTGTCAAATGCTGGGCCCTCAACTCCGCTGCTGTCATCAATGTCAGCTTCTCGAGGGCTTGCCGGCCCTCACAGCTCTTCCTGAGTCACGGTCTCACACTTCATAAATCACGTGCCATTGAGTTGCATCCTGTGGAATGTGACCAGCAGCCTTATGCTCTCTCCACGCAATCTCTGCGAGGTGAGGCGGTCTTTACCCAGCAAATTTTCTCGGTCAACAGGTTGATCAGCTTCTGTGAGGCGACTTTTGGATTTGAATTCCTCAAGTACACGCAAAAACGAGGCGAATCAAATACGCTACACACGTACACTGGTGACATCCGCGTGAACCACAAGCGTAGTGTTCTAAACTCACTGCGACCTTACTGCAAGCTGTCATGCCAAATGACTTTGTTCTTTGTCATCTTGTACACGTTTCACAGCTTTGACCGAACTCTGGCCTTGATGTTGCGTTCTATCTTTGACTCGGTCCACATTTTCACTGATTCACAGAAGAGACTCAGGGAACCATGAAGCACATTCCGCTCCTTAGAGGCCATCTCGATCCTCCGGGGTGGGCGAATGTTCTCGTTGCGGTTCCACTCCACGTTTTCCACTGCTCTTGCTGTCCCAAAGAACTCCCTTCCTTTGCGCGGTCGCCTGAGAGGCGCTTGCAACTTTGCATTTGCTAAAAAAACTGCAGTCATTCTGTTGGTCACCCCTCACGATGGTCGCGCTCTGTCCTGAATATGGCATCGGGAAAGAGCTGTCTACAGTGTCTTTTTTTCTTTGGGTACTTTCGTCACGAACGTGGGGGCCAGAGTCTCCCACGTACACATTCAAAGTTGGATTTCAGCGCTCCAGAAATAGAGAGAGAGAGAGAGAAAAGACAGAAAGAGCGCCAGTCTTTGCTGTTGTTGCTGCTTTTCGTGGCTCGTTGCCAGCACTACGCTGGCAATGCTGCTCCGAAGTCTGGTTTCTCTCTTGCCCTTCCCCTCAAGATCCAGGCGTGATAGATGCAGGCAGAAGCTTCGATATCCGCCCGCCATCAAGCCTCAGGCGCCGAGCTGGAGATTCTATCTGAGTTCCTGATGCCATCACTACCTGTGAACATCACGGGTACAGCATCCAGCTCTGTTTGACACGCAGGCCGCCGCGCCCAGGCGGGAAAGCCTCACCGGCATCCTCGGAAAGCACGAAAGCCCCTTCTGAAGCACCCAGCTAGCAAACCAAAAGCACAGCAACTCGGTGCAAAGCGATGCAAAGCGATTCAAAGCGATGCAAGCAAACTCTACTCTGCGTGTCAGAATTGTCATCTGAGAGAGAGAGAGAGAAAGAAACGACAACGCGAGTCCCCCACGTCCCTCCTAGCATCTCAGAGGCGAACATTTGGAGAATTGTCATCTGTGGGTAGGTAAGACAGGAGGCTGAGCAAGCGCCCACACGCATGATACTCTTCAACTTGGGCACCCTGCTGCATAAAGAGTTCTCAGCATGCGGAGCATCGTGGCCCTGAGTCTGAATCTGTGACTTGAACGGCAACCACGTGCACCAGCAAGGGCTTTGTCGGAGGTGCCAATGACCACAGCGGCAAACATATCATAATTCAGCTTCATCTTGCCATGGGTCTGCGGGCTTGAAGGCTCTGCCCCAATGGCTGGGCGACTGGCCTACAGGCGTCCTCCAAGCGATCGACGACACTCGGGTCGTCTTCCTCCTGCATCAAAAACAACATGAAGTGCCCAGGACTCTTTGGGAAGAGGATGTTCTGCTTTGAAGAGGTAGCTTTGGGCCTCCATGTCAGCCTGAGGGAGTGTACTCCGTGGGTGAGCAAGAAAAGGATTCAACTTCCCACTGCAATCCGCAGGTGCCTTCGCAGATGACAAGGATAAGGCGGTGTAAGCAGACAGTGAGTTTGCTGCTTGCTGCAGTTGAACCGGTTTGCCACACGACTAAAGGCTTGCCAATCCACGGAGTTGGCACCTGTCAAGCCTCTGGCCTCGCTGTCTTTCTCCGGCAGGGTATTTCTGAAGGCTTCTAACCTTGGCAATCCAGCCTGCCATAGGAAGCGCAAGGACCCTGCACGTTCCACGCACTTCTTGCTTGCCAAAGTCCTACCGCCAGATCTTCACATCGGACCAACAAATGATTGATCGCAAAGACGACACGGATTTGAGGCAACCCGGCCAAGAACAAGTTGATCGCCGTCACGAGGACGAAACGGCTTTTTGGGGAACCCCCCTTCCCCCCAACAGTACAATGACTTCCCTGAAATCAAAGCTTCACCAGCCCGCCTCCCTTTTTTCCCCCCCGATGGGTTCCGCCAGCTCTGGCTCCCCGCCGAGCCGTCACCTCCACCTGGCTGGCCTTTCGGCGGTCAGCAGGGCCTTGGAGCTCGGAGGAAGCGCCAACTTCAAGGGAGCGTCGTGGAGTTGGTAACCCTTGGGGTTGGGTTGGGAAATCAGCGGTTGTTTTTTCCTTGGGTTCACCTTTGAGACAAAGCCGTAGGCATCAAAAAACTTCGCCAAGTGCAACCCAAGTGCAACAACCTGTTCTGACTCACCGATATCTTGGCTTCTGCCAGCCAGTGTGGTCCAATTCCAAGGTAGGTATGCTCCGGCTGTCAAGATATACCGTGGATTTTCGAGCAATGCTCGCATTTGCACCCTGCAATTGACCGTGGTTGACACGTGCAACATCCACAACGTCACACACATTCCAAATCCTCCTCTCAAACAAAGTAGTCTCTTTTTGCAGGATCTCTCTGGCACGCAGTGGCATGCCGTGCATGGGCCCGCGCCAAGGCGACTGCAGCCGTTGGCAACCCGAATGAGATATTCCAGGATTGCCAGGCGACCTAGGGACGTCAGAAGCCATCCGGGAACTCTCAGATGCTTCCACTTCTTGAGGCACCAGGTTCTCAGCTTTGGCGACAGCCCATGTGCGCATCAGTGGGACGTGCATCTTGCTGGTCTTCGTAATCCTGTCTATTGGTGGCTTCTGCCTTTGAACGTTGTCTTAGGGCCAGACATCCCTTCGCCTGCAGCAAGGAGGTGGCCTGAGCAATTGGATGCCTTGGGTGGGTGGTGGGTGGGTGGGTGGGTTGGTGGGTGGTGGCACAAGGGTGACTACGCTTCGCCTCCGGACGGCAAACATCGCAAGCATTTATTGTATCCCGCTCCCTCGGCCAAGTAAAGGAGCTCCTAGATGGCATGTTTCCTCTGTCACAGGCGCCTGGTCGACCTCGCCCTTCACCCGCTGCCTTGCAAGTTGAAACTTGGAATGAAAGCACAGCCTGGAGGGTTGTTGGGCTTGACAATTTCAACCAAAAGATGCGCCATCTTGCTTTCCTCTTGCAACCTGTACGCAGACCCAAGGTTACGTTACCTGCCTGGCTCCAGTCTTGTCCCAGCTGAGCACCGTGAGGCTCCTGGCATCTTTGACTTGTTTTGAGCTTGTTTGTGTTGTACATATGTATGATGCATTGGCCAAACTTCTTGATAGTGGCGAGTGAACGAAGCATCGAAGCAAATCAACGACGGGATAGTACTGCACATCGAACAAAAACAACAGTTTGCTGATGCGCGGTCCTGGCTCGTGACAGCACCTGCGGCCATGTGTGACAGTGTCAAGGCACAGTACGCAAGCCATACAAGCAAATTCGCCGTCGTTTTGGGCAGCTGCCTCACAACTTATTCCCAGCTGCCCAGTGTCATCCTGCAAAGTTGCCCATGTCCAACCCTGCGGTGCCTTGATCTGAGCCTTGGCGCGCGGCAGGGGCGCTGACGCCTCAGCGTGCGAGGGACCGCAGCTTGGAGCTGCTTGCAATTGACTGAAAGTCAGATGCAAGCACCCGAACTACTCCTCAAACAAGCCTGGTGCGACCCCAATCTCAATTTCTCCAACGAGCTCGTGCATTTGCTTTCAATAGAGGCCTTGTAGGCTGAAAGCAAGAATCCAGCCAACGCAACGCAACTGTCAGTGGCACCTCCTCGCCCCCATCCTCACCCAGGTCCGCGGTGATGGGCCGCCTCAGGTTGCACTGATTCACAGGTTGCAGCCCAAGCTTTAGGTGCGCCCGTGTTCCATTCCCAGCTGGCATCGTCAAGACATGTGGCTTCCACCCGAGAGAAACATTCCCACTGAGCGGACGGACTCTGGCCGGGTCTGACCTTGGTCTCGCCACGAGATTTGGACATAGCTTCGTGAGCAACACAATGGCTGAGCTGGGCCATAGCTTCAGGCGCGGCGCCGACGCTCACGTCTCGTCTGAGAGAGTGGCAGAGGATGGCATGTGAGCGCGGGCGGCTGAGGGTGTTCCCGTGGTTCGGCGGCGGGCCAAAAAGCAGAGAGGCCTCAAATTCATGGTGCGCTTGCGACGCTCAAGCTCTTGTCGGTCGATTCAAGCGGCTGATTTTGTCAAGTTCCCTGCAGCCAAATGTCCGACAGTTTACCACTGTCACAAGATGATGAGGGCACCTTTGTTTCGTGGTTTTACAGGCGGGACAGGGAAACCAAAAAGGACAAGAAAAACCTGTCATTTTGGGCGTCCAAATCCCAAAAAAAAGACACATCCGCCCATGAAAAGAATCTGGGATCCGCGGCTAAGACCTGAGAGGCCGTGAGGCGCTCTGCTGGCTTCCGCCCCCGCGGCCATGGCCTCATCTTGGCGCTCCGTGGCTACCATCTGTCCCCTGATGGTTACCCAAAAGGGCCTTTATTCATTTGGGGTTCACTTTTTTTTAATCAACCAGGCGGTCAAACCCTCTCAGAGTGTCTGAGCTTCTCGCTTCATGGCCTCCTGGCTGTCCACGATCATCGCCTAACATGCGGTGAGTGAAGCGAACGCAAGGAAGCAAATTCCCTGAGAACTTCCAGCAAAACTGCTGCCTGAAAACAGCTGCTAGGCGCATGGCTGAAAGCCCTACCCTGACAAAGCCCAAGTTTGTTCACATCCTTTTGCCGCTGCTTCCACCAGAAGCTGCACGGCCTAATTGGGTTGATGCATTCTGTTTGAAAGCACCACCGGAAAAAACATGGCAATGCGAGGGAATCATTTCTTCCTCCCAGCGGCACCCATAAAACCGCAAAAGAGGAATGAATGGAGAAAGCTAAAAACTCAAAGATTGAGAGTCAAGGAACTACAGCATAGCAACGGAGAAAGGAAACTGCCCTCTGCGCCGCCGGGCATAGTGGCGCACTGCGTTGCTGGTGGGAAAGAGCCGGATGAAGTTCCGGTTCCGTGTGCACTCCAGCAGCGCGTTGGCCTTATGCTGGTCCAGTCGCATGCCAAAAACAACGCAAAAGAACACTGTGCTGGTTCAAGATACGGTGCGTTCTCTCCCTGTCTCGCTCTCGCTCTCTCTCTCTCTCTCTCTCTCTCCGATTGTGCGAAACAGCGACCAACCTCTCCCAGACTTCTTGGCTGGGTGGCTGGCTGCGTGGTGGGGGTGGCTGGCTGCGTGGCTGGGTGGCTGGCTGTCTGGCTGGCTGGCTGGCTGGCTGAATAAAGAACGAGGCAGCTCTCACAAAACATCCTTGGGCGTTCTAGCTATCAAAATGATGCTTCCCGCAAACTCTCACGAATTGCCGGCCATGACATTTTTAACACACCAGCCACCAAATTTTGGTCCGTCTGAATTCCTGCGCCTTGGCCTAAAACCGGTTTTTGCCTTTCTGGACGCGTCCGGCTGGGCCCTGTGACGGTGCTCCGCAGCTCCTCCACCTCCAACGCGCCCAAAGACACCGGCGGCAGGTCCTCGCCCTATCCGACCGACGGCCCGCGCCAAGTGAGGCGCAGTGGCGGAGTCATGAACTGCATCCAATTGCTAACATGTACTGTTCCGTGGTCTTCCAGCTGAGTAAGAGAGTTTTCATAAAAACTTGTTTGGAGTCAGAAGGCGGGAGCAAGGAAGCATGCAATTTTGACTTCTGCACAATGTGAACATCTTTGGCAAGTTCTGAATGAAACGCCCAAGGCCTCATCATCAGCCTCGAGCTGCTCCTTTATCTCCTTCCGGAGCGTCGAGCGGCCTAAGCTCCGGTCGCAGGCATCTTTACACGTAAGCTGCGCAATACAGATTGATTGCCACCCCACTGATTCAATCGCCGACGGCTTCACATCATCCCAGCCTGTGGCTGCCTGGCGCCTGCGCCTCTCAGGCGGCCCTGGCGTCGGACGCCCTTGTTGAGCCCTGGCCTGTTGCCTTGAAGGGCCACATTCCCACCAGGGATGGAGCAAACTGAATCCAAATCTCACGGAGCGGCGCCTGGAGGCTTGCCTGGGACCTTCACTACCTGGCGAGAAACCGGCGGGACACGCCGACGGCACGACTAGGGCAAATGTGTTCGGCATAGAGTGCGACTGTACGGCAAAATCGTGCTCAACCTCTTGAGCGCTCCCTGGCCCCTGCATGTCATTCATCCATCCCAAAGAAACTTCCAACTCCACCCAATAAAATGCGCCAAGAATCCGGGAAAAAAATCGGGGGCCGCAGTGGGACCGCCCCATGGCCGTCGTGTCGCCCGTCGCTTCGCGTCGCTTCGCGCCGCTTCGCGTCGCTTCGCCCGGGCCTTGGCCTTGGCCCTGGTGGCCTCCGCCAAGCGCTGCTTGCTGACCCGGTTGATGCCAACCTCAAGGCCGCGACCCGCAAACGGGACTGGTGGCTGGACCCAACAATCATAGTTGTTTTGAAAGTCGAGTATGGCCCTTAAGGGTCAATGCAAACTGGCTGTATGTAGAGCCGCCTTTGGTTCGTTCGGCAGAGTTGCATGGTGAGACCGTGTCACATTCAGCGGTAGCAACCCTGCCGCATCGTTCAATGCCAAGCCCACGGCTAGGTTGAAGCTGTCCGCTATCAATGAACTCTTGATCTGCCAGTCCAGCGGCGAATCTGCCTTGCTTGCACTCCGTTGCACAAAAGCCTGTTGCATTTGCAGCCTTTCAAGTCAACATGCCTCCATTGACAAAGGAAAATATCGCACTGAAGAAAACACGCGGATTCGAGAGTCTAACTGTTTTCAAGCCAACATCACACGCTCAATGCAAAGTTACTGATCTTGGCGAAGCCATGTACCTATGAGTCAACTTCATGGACGCGTCGGTCAGCTTCGGCCTGCATGCTCGGGCTCAAGTTCACCTCCAGCAGCCATGGCCTGCAGTCACCGGTGCTCAGCCCTGAGGCCCGCAATGGGTGCCATGGGTTCCGTGGAAACTTGCTCTTCCCAAATCAGTGGAAAGTGCAGCCGTGCGCAACGTGGTATCAAGGACCTGGCTTCAACTGCTCGTCTACCAGCACATCAAAGCCGTACAGCCTTGGTGCACTTGCTTGGCAGGTAGCACCGTACAATCACCCCACAAGTCAACCTTGCAAGGAGAACATGCTTGGAGTCTTTGCTATGATGCACATGATGAAGTAATATATATATATATATAATGTTGCATATACAAAGTATATTCGAATGAGGGTTTATTGCAGTTGAATCGTCGACCTTCGAACGCGTGATGTGACTGCAAGACGATGACACGTCCTGCCCTCTGGGTTTCTGAAAACCCCAGGTAGTTCTCGCTTTCATCTGAGATGATTACCAAAGGCCTTCCTTCAGTTGGTCGCCCAGCACACGTCACATGTCCCTGAGCATCTCGCTCAAAGCAGTTATGGCCTTAGCTCAACTCTGTGGCACGCTGCAGGGATGTTCATGCGTGCTCGAAGTGTACCACACACATGCAATACCACATGAAAGGCGGGGTGCTCATGACTGATTCTCCACATAATTTGCAGCAGCCTCAGTACTGGGCCATAGTTCGCAGTTGTCTTCGTGCGAGCACTGATGACTGGCTCCACCTTGGTGAACCAGGGATCTTTGGAGAATGCATTTGCCTCGGAGTCAAATGCACACATGTGCACATGCGATCTAAATGGAAAAAAAGAGAAGCAGCTGACGTCGATGTTTCAAAAGCAATGCCGCAAATGGCAACAAGCAGTGATTTCAAGCCAGCCACTTCATTATAATTACTGATTCAAAGACTGCGTGCGCTCTGAGGATGCTGCTGCGAGAAGTGACTTCACTATGACATCCTTGGCCCAGCCAGTCCAAAGCAAGAATTCCAGTCGACAGTAGCTTTACAGCCCATAGTAGGCCTGTGGAGCGGAAAATCAAAGCCCAAGTCAATTCTGCGACGAATTCTGGTCCTAATTACGCAAAGAAACATGCCGAGTAGAAATGCCGATCCACCAGTTTCCTTCTTACACATGCGTGGAGTGTCACCCCTCTCCTTTGGCAATAGCAAGACTGCACTGAACCCCGAAACAGAACCTTGGCCCCGAGCCATGATGCGAGTCCACATGAGCTCCGCGTCCACGCCGGTGCACCTCCGGGGGGAAAAAAAAAACGAAGAAGCGCCTGGTGAAAAAATCGAAAATCCAACCCCATCCAGGCCTCAGGTGCCGGTTCAGGGCCGAGATGCTCCACTTGTGACCCACATTGTCGGCCTCAGAAAAGCGAACCACAAGACTGGCCGAAAAGCTGTCACAATGCTCACACTCGCAAGACACAGCCTCAACACTCCTTTGTAGAAAACCAAATCCACAAGGGCCCCCAGAACTTGGGACCTGAAATCCAGTTGGCCCATGGGGATTCGCAAACGTGCAGTGACCCTCCCAATGCCTGCATCTCCGAATTCCCCACAAAGCTAGAGGAGTCCTGCGAGAGCTACGCGAGCCGTCCAGTGTGCTTTGAGGCTTCCCGCTTCGGAATTGGCGAAAAGGGAGAAACCGTTAAACGGTTCGATCCCCTTTTTCGGGGTACCCCTTGGCACAGACCCGTCCGGAGAAAACGCACCATCATCTGACAGACCCTGAAGATGGCACAAACTCAACGCAAACCCAGCCACATCACTTCTGGGCAGCTGGGTGTGTATGCTCTAGTCAGTCAGATTGCACGGCTTACACTAATAATTATGCAGCCACCCCATAAACTGAAAGCCAGAAGACATTTCAAAACGGTGTGGTGTGGGGAAGCAAGGAGGAAATTGGATCTGAAGTGGTGGATCCCCAGCAAACGATGTGGCTGCTCAATGACGAAACCTCTGGACCAGTGTGTGCAGTCCGGTCGTACTGACTCGGTCCTTGTTGATGGAGTAGTTGGTCAAGTGTCTATATGCGTCCTGAGTGCAACCCGGATCGGCCCCAACATTCTGCCCATCTCACCATGCTCGCTCCCCTCTTCACGGTAGCAGAATGCCCTCTCAAAAAAAGGCTTTATGATCCGGCCGGCGCCCGAGCAAACCAACCCAGAAAGCAACCAAGAACCCAAACAAATAAACAAACACTCCAACCAACAACCAAGCAAACAAGCAAACAAACAAGCAAAAACCTGGGCTTTGTCACCTCTCGGCCCGGGTCGCCGCGCCGAGAGGTGCTTGGCCTCGGTGCTGTAGGGCTTCGAGGCAAAGCGCACCAGGCCTGCGATGCTCAACCCCAATCTTGGCGCACGAGATGGCGGGCGGCTCGTCTTTCCTTGAGGCTACCGGTTTGCTTTGTGGTGTTAAAGGAAACCGAAAGGAAATCGGCAGTTTGGAGGTCCCCTAAACATGACACACCCATGTGGAGGTTTCTCAAAATGGGGACTCCTTGTTGGTGGGACCAAAGGAACAAACCATTTTGAAGCGCCGGCATGTTGAGAAACTTCCATATTGGTTTCTTTGGCTTGCAGGGAGCGGATGCTTGATAGGCCTTGCGCGTATACTAGTGTATGCCCATACTGAACTATATGTATATATATGTACAATATGATATGTATATATATATATACATACATATATGTTGGTACAGCTGGATACGTCCCCAGCTCCCAAAACATACCTTTCAAGAGAATTTGCTGGCACTTACGACTTATGATGTTCCGCCCCATTTTGACCTCCAATATTTGAGGTCCATACATCAGCCAAAAGCGCGGTATATATTTTCAAGTTTGAAAATGGTGGATTCTCACGGCTCCAGTTGTTGAATCCTCAATCCTGATTCTAGAATCTAGTCTAGAGCCCTAAGATGCGTTGAAACGATTGAAGCAACTTTGGACAAATGGATGATTCATAGGATTCTATCAGGAAGAATCCTTCAATCTCATACTGGGACCTCGTTGACCAAGCCCGCCTTCTCGGTAGACATACGCCCGGAGTGGCTCGTAACTGGTGACCTGTCATTTCTGACGCTCGCAAGAATCACTGTTGGGAGCCTAACTCTTACCTTCAACGCATGTTTGTCGGACAAAAATGACATCAAAGCGTCCGGCATTCTCCACATGATCTATCCAAGCTGCAAAGCGGTACTGAGATCGCGACCAAAACGTACCTCGGCCCGCTGATCTGCGACAGCTGAGCCCAAGCGCATGCGCAAGTTGCACTTACGTACTGCCTGTTGGATAAGCTTGTTTGGCAAGTCCTGCTCTTCACAAGCCCGGCTCTGAAGCCACCAACATCCCTGTGCTGGAACTCTCAGCCCCAAACACGCGAAGGTCGAACTTCAAGCCCTGGATCAACAGCGGCTTCTCCACATACTGGGAGACCACCGACCTGGGCTGCTTGAGCAGTTGACCCGAAGCGAAAGTGTAGGCTGCGTTCTCTGCACAAATTGGCCCGTGTTGCCCAAAGCCTTTCTTCACTAAACGGACTAAACGGGTCACAAGTTGAGGTCCACTGAAGCAAACTTGTGAACACTTGCATTCCGGTAAAGAAGGCAAAGCCTCGCGCGAAGCTCCTAGGAGCCTCCGAACCTATCACTCCGGTCCTTATTCCCAAGCAATGGCATCAGAATCTCTGATGCAACCCATCCGTACGTTCAGCATAAGAGCTGCCGCCTCAGAGTCAGCCAATCGATACAAAGCAGGGGTATGGATAAGCACAAAATATCCAGATTCATTCGAATGCTGTCGTGCACCTGTGCAGGCAAGCCATGAAGTTGGTTGGCTCTGATCCGGCATCTAGATTGCCCAAGTGAAGGGCCATGTCTGCATGGATCTGCTGGCATCTGCTGTTTCTTGGAAAGCTCCTCTCTTAGCAGCAGCTCATCTGGCATTTAACATAAATCCATCAGTAGTCAAAAAGCTGATTTGCTGAACAGCTGCTCGCAGATTCACCTGCACACGCAACTGTTCCACTGCGACATGCCAATGGGAAAACGGTCGTCACAGAGCTTGGCATTGTGCGTATGGTGTTTTCAAAAAATTGATGGCCTGCCTCAGGTCCAGAAGACTGAGGGACACTCCGGGAAGAGTGCTTCTGCCCAAGCCACTGGCAAAAGCTCAGTCAGAGCCCAACGGTCTCTGCAATTTGTGTTACAAGTCAAGCCATATTTGGCTTCGGTGAGTCATCAGAACCTCTTTCAGCAGCTCGGCAAACAATAGGCAACCAAATTGCATGTGGAGCATCTTAAGTCTGAAAATTGGAACAATTATTACAAGCCCACCACATTGTTGCCAATAGGGGTTTTGGCTGCTGATCAGGTTTGTCAACAAAAGATTGGGCAGCTGGATCGCCGATCCCCTGAGGAGATGACCAGCTGGAAAATTGAAAAACTTTTCACCCACGAGTCTGCGAGTCCAGCGTCGCGTACAGACTTTGCTTCCTGCTCCTAGTCGGGCATCTGCCAATCCTGGGCTTGGACCAAGCTCAGTAGTATGATACTCTCTTACACACGAAGGGATGCAGGAGCAGCTTCTGTTGCGGCAGTGCAAGGGTCATGAGAAAATCCCAAAATCGAATAGAAAGCACATCAGTTTCGAAGAAATGCTTTGATGTTGTGTGTGTGCGTGCGTGTCTGCGTGGGGGGTATCGAAGTAGCTACTTTGCGCTGCCTGCTTGCCAACTGCTCACATGTTCGACCAGTTCCTGCGCCCCGGTTCTATACTTCCTTGATTAATCACAGATTTGAATGTGTCTCAGGACTTCTACAGCAATCCTAGACTTCGAGGCAAGACTCAGGACGCTCCAACCAGCTCCGAGTGATGCGCTTCGCTTTCGTAGCCTCAGGCCGAAAGCGAAGACTTTGGAAATAGGCAAGGACTCAAACTTGGCCGACCATCAGGTACGACCAAACTCAGATCTCTGGCTTGATCCAACAGCTAGGGATCTAGTTACATAGCCGCGCGGAATCTCAGAACGCGGAACATCTCTTTTGGTGGCGGGAAGCTCAGAGGAAATGCCCCAAATGGCAAATTAAATCCGAAAGAGCGGCGTCTCAGGGCCGGGCGGTCAATGGCCCTCGCCAGGAACTCGTCACCATTCAAGCTGGGGCCAGTGCCCCCCCACCTGGCCAGAGGATCTACCGTTTTGAGCAGCGTTCCTCTTAAATGAAAGGTCTTCGAAAATGTGCAAGCCAGGTTGCTCTGCGGGCAGCTGACTCTGGTCGAAGTGATCCAGAAGCCTTGCTGTGAAATCAATTACCAGGCCAAAGTGTGTCTTCTCTTTCGCATGGTCTGGACTCCTGGACTCCAGCATGGCATCACTCTCATGCCCAGCCTTGAGAGGGGTTCCTCACGCCATCCGTTCGGGCCTGCCAAGCGTTCAGTAGATTGAACGAGGCAAAGCGGCTCATCCAAACCCACGACGCGCCTAGGAACTTGAAGTCGATGGAGCCACGGTCTGAAATCCACCTTGAGAAGATCTTGAAGGCGCCCCAGAAGAGCATGTCCTTGGGAGCAAAACCAAAAAACAAAGGCGTGCAATTGGGGGGGTCAAAAGCTGGTTTCAGAAAGCCACGCAAAAACGAACGCGCAAGTCAGCTAAGGTCACCACACTGTTCAAATAGAAGACGCGCCCCACAATCCCCGGGTAGTGCTGATTCAGGATGGTGATGGCTGCCTCACGGCCAGCTCCCCACAGAAATATGATGGCCCATCGCCCTCGTTCTTCTGCCTCAATCCTTCTTCCTTGTCCAGTCGCTTCCCCAAAACTCCCGCCTTCAGCACTGCGAAGCCATTGTCCAGGCTCCCCAGCTCCTCCAGGATTGCCTCAGAGGGCGCCTCCTTGCCAGCTCCCCGGGAATAGTAGGGATTGCGGGCCTCGCACGGTTGCAAGACGCGCAGCCCAAGGACGTCAGAATTATTATTTAACTTCCTTGTTTATGTTGTAAGAATTACTCACTGGAAAGGAACTGGATGAGATGCGATGTTAATATCTGGTAGAGCTTCTATAGTCTATCATCACTTGTCTCACTTCCACGACTTGGGCTCGGCTTAGGCAGAGCCTACCCGCTTTTGCGTTTGCGTCAGTCAAAAGTCATGCCCATCCGGCAACCTCCGAAAACCATGGGAAGCCTGAAACGTCCTGCCCGGGCCTCGTTGTAGTTGCGCTCCAGGCCCGCAGTCCCGCTGACATTGCCTTGCTGCTTCGGAGGGCTGATGTCCAGGATGTAGGAGGCGGGGCCTTTGCCCAGCGCTGCCACCTGTCCGCTGAAACCCGCATCTCGCCCGGGGCAAACCCAGCCCTCGAGCTGATTCCCATCTGGGAGGGGTCAAAATAAAACCACCAGGGGACCGCAGGTTTTAGTCCATGTTTCCATTTACCACCGCTCCATTTTGGGTACCATTTTTTGACCCACTGCCATCTCGCCCCCTATCTCAAAATGGGTCTTGGTGCAGTTTGCACCTTGGTTGCCATAAGCTCAAAGACCATGACGCCAGCTCGAAGGTGATGCCATGGGTGCCTTACATCGGGCTGAGAATTGACGGTCTCAAATGCAGGCGTTGACGTTACTCGTGGCTAACAGCGGACGTGAAGTTAGTGTCAAGGAGTTGTTTGGCACCACGTGCGGCCTCTCTCTTCAGGGCCCACGCAATTCCACCATGCCAAGCAACATGTTCTCTGGGTTCGCGAACTTCAGGCGGCCTGCTGCGTAGGGCCTCCCCTCCTTGTCCACCAGCAGGGAGTCTGCGAAGTACATCTCCTCAACTCCGGCAATGTATCGGAAAATCAAGAAATTTTGCGCGCGACTACCTTGGCTCAAATGTCTGACACTACAGGTGTGCGGGATGGGGGGACAGTGAACGGCAGCAAGGAGCATAGTTGCCCTGGTTGCGGCCTGGTGTTGCAGCCTTTCGTGATACTCACAGCTTCGGGCGCTGAAAGTGAGAAGGGCCCAAAACCCTTGACTTTTTGCTTTGCCGTGCATAGACACCACTCTTGAGCGGATGTGCATATCATGTGGCAGGCAATCTGCAGTGTTGTCTTGAGCAGGGGTGCTTATCCATATAGCCGGTGCTGCACTGAATCCAACACCGAGTTTTGCAAACTTCTACAGCCGGACTGGTGAAAGCCGTATGCTGAACCATGAAATAAATCACCTGCCGCGTAGAATGCAAAACGCATTGCGGGTTTCAGCTCGCTCGTCGCGTAAAACTGCCAATGCAAAGAGCGGAACCACGCCCATCGCCCCATCGCCCCCCGGCCCCCCGGGAAAGCGGCCAAGGCACAGCCCCGGGATTGGCTTCCTCAGAGAACAGCTCTGCGGCAGCGCCGGTCCTGCGCGACAGATTCCTTGGACCAGATTCGAACAAAGTGCCATGAAATGCAGTGAAGTAATTCACTTGGGTATGGGTCAAAGTTAAACCACCTGGAACTTGCAGGTTTTAGTGCAGGTTCCCACTTACCAGAGTTCCATTTTGGATACCTGTTTTTGACCCACAGCCACTTCACCTTCTTGGCGGGTGTCAAAATGGTCAGCTGTCCGTTGCTTCCAGGGTGAATCCTTCACACGACTGTTGCACCTGAACCCTTCACTGCACTTCGAATCCATCCAGCTCCTGTAGTAGTCCAAGACATTCCATTCCTGGCGCCACTTGGCAGTCGCCTGCAGGTTGAGAAGCATTGCTCGAAATAGGACAAACATTCGAACTCAAAGGGTCTTTGTGTCTAGGGTCGCCTAAGTTGCTGTGGCAATCTCCGCAAAGATACAACTGCTTCTTGCAACACAGCCTCTGTCATTCACAACGTCGAGTGACTCATACAAGCACACAATCAGAAGCGTGACCAAGCAGGACAGCTGTCTGAACACTTTGCCTCAAGCTGTCCCAGCGTCTATATTGTGTTGACCTGTCCAGAGCTCAACCTGCAACTGCGAATGACTCCAAGTTGCCTCCAAGCGGATGATGGCCTCCCTCACATCGAAGCGCGCAGCAACCAGGTACCTCCGCAGTAGGCCTTTCGGATCCACAATGAAATAGGGGTCGTCCACCACTGCGGGATAGATGCCCTCCTGCCTGACATGCGGGCGAGCGTCTCTATGCTCGGCAAGTGTTGCATGGTGTCCTTGTAAAGTGAACCGAAAAGGACCGCAGCCGCTAATGTGACATGTATGCATGGCTGCCTATCAATAAATGCATGGTGGCAGCCGAAGCCAAACATATGCGCTCTGCTAGATGCAAGAAAGGCACAATCTCTGATGAAGTGTTTGCCAATTCCTGCAGGGTTCTTGCAAGGAAAAGTAGCGCGATGTTCGTCTGCTCAAGCTGACATTACCTGCACGAGCCCACCTCTCAAGCTCCGCCAGCAATTCCTGACGGTCCGCCGAAGAAAACCTCAGCGAGGGGAATTTGAAGGGGCGAGAGGGCAACTGATTTGCTCTCTCCATACGTTGAGCAAGGGCACTCCTCTTTGCTTGCTGGGTCAGACTGCTCCTCCACGGGTGCCTTTGGTGGACCTGGCGCGAAGCGCGCGACCAACTGCGTTCACCTGGCCCAGCCCCTGCGGCCTGCAGTTCGGAAGGGGTTCCCCAGGAAGGACAGCGCCAGGCCAGCGTGCCCGGCCAGCAGCGCCAAGGGCAGCAAACCCAGGCGCCTTGAGCTCATGCGCTTGCGAGCTCGGCTCGTGCAAAGACCGAACAGGTTGCCAAGGAAACACATGCAACCTGCTTGTTTGTGGGGCAAATATCTACATGCTGCGTAGACAAATTGCAACTGCACATGGGCAAATCACACAGCAACCATTTCTCGTGTTGCCCTCAGCAAGGAATCCCGAACCACTCACCGTAAAACATGCTGCAAGTGGCACTTCACGTGCACGGCCTGTGCTGCTTCTGCACTGGCGGTCGCGAGGCCGCAGCCATGACAGGGGCCATGGCGCGTTGCGCTTGCTCGCCGCTTGTCTTGGACATGCAAAAGGCTCGATCTTGCAGAGTTGCCTGTAAGATCCTGTATAGCAACCCAGGTGCCCAACACTCAGTAAAACAAACTCCTCAAAAAACCAGGCCCAGGATTCCCAGCAGTGAACACCATCTTCCACTGCATCTGATTAAATAATCTGGATGTTGATGATGGTGACCGGCTTGTCCCCTGGACTTGCCGGGCAAGCAACTTGCATTGTGGCGAGCCGGGAGAGCGCGAGAATTGTCAGCGCAAACAAGCAAAGAAGCAGTCGTGTATGTGTGTGTGTGTGGATTGCAGAGCTTGGTTCTTAACTTCGGTGATGCACAGGAATCGAGCACCGCATGCCCGACGGAACATTCATCTAGGCTCTCTTTTGGGGAGGGGCAGTGATTGCCCCTGGTGTTGAGGCCCCTTTCTCTTACAAACAAGCTTTCAACCAAGGCAGGCCAGCTGGGGTTCGAAACACCTCGTTCAGCGGCAGGTCTGCCACCTGACAAATCGAAAATGCTGGGCAAAGCCGAGCTTCCGAAAACAGACCTTGTCTCCAAACAAGGGGCTGGCGCAAGAAGCTGCTTGCATCAGGCTTCTGCCCTAGTGCAAGAGGAGTGTTTCATTAGGAAGCCGCACGGTGGTACTGTCGCATGTGTTCCCTTCTCCAATACCCAAAACACTGATATTGAAAGAAAACCACATCGGAAGCGTTTCAGGCGCAAGAACGTGAAAGACAACCTTAAATCCTGGCCAAGTGTACAGCTAAATAATCTGCTGTCCGTTCGATTTGATGACATGCCAGGCTCCCGCACATCCCGCAGCACAAAGATACCCCGGCCCCGGGAGGAAGCATGCGGCTTGACCTGTGCCGCTTGGACCGATGCGTAGGCGGCGTGCAACAGTACCAAATCGGTTGAGTCGGCCGGGCCCTGAAAATCTCAGACTTGGAAAAATATTGCCCAAGGGAGCAAGCGCAAACATTGTGAAGTGCATAGCACAGCCTTGATTCTTTCAAATGGTTTCAGGTAGTGTTCAAACGAGACGAGGAAACCGCCTGCCTTGGGTGGCCCCCTATCTGTGGAAACTCCCAGTCTCAAAAGCTGAACCTGTGGGAAGCTCTCGGCAATCAATTCCTGGGGCTGCAACGATCCACAAGCCGCCTTGCGAGTTGTAGACTTCCAGGAACTCCTCCACCCAGTTCGCTGCAGTTGCTCATCATGCACCCAAGCAGCTCAGGTGGTTGGAGCATAACTACAATCATGGCCAAAACCCCCGTACCTGATGTTCACTTGAGGCTGGTAACAGTGCAACCGCAATTCGGCAGAGTTGTGGTGTGTGATGAAGGAGGTGGAAAGTCAAAAGCTTCAATGTGAGGCAAACGACACGGCTGCGTATCAGACTGCAAGCAGCGCAAGAACCGCAAGCAACAGCCAGCTTCAAAGAGTTAAGAAGGACTTGGCTATCGCAGGTCTAATTCATGATTCAAGTCTCTACATAGATGGCATCCCTAAAAGTTAATGTGATACTGCATGAATGTCTGCACAATGTGCATGAATTGCACTATGAAGCATAAAGTTGGCATTCAGTGGAAGGACGCGGAGCCAGCGTAAAGGGCCGGTTTAAGCACACACGGCGTGGAGTTTGTGGGCATCCCGATGCATCCCGTCGAAAAAACCAGGTCACGAAAGGGGACGAAAACGGATGGCATCCGAACGGCTTCCACTGGCTCTCCTGGACCTGCTCAGGCAGGACCTCGGCTCTACTTGCCGTTCTCTGGCGGATTGCCCCACTTCGTGTAGGGTCACCTTCTTTACTAGAAAATTCGGATCCAAAGTGATGGCATCCAGTGACAAAGCCAGTCCTGGGAGTAGATTTCGGATGTCACGTAGGGGCTTTGTTTGGCCACATCGTCTCGGGTTCTCTTTGCCCGCAAAGACCAAGGTGACAGACCAAGGTGGCTTTGCCCGCCAGGCGCCCAAACAAAGGTCTTCGGCACGAAGTCAAAAGCCTCGCTGCCAAAGGTCTCGGCCTCGGACGACTGGCCGCTTCACGTACGCGCGGCCGGGCGGCCGCTTTGCTCAGAAAATACCGAAGCGTCCCTGTGGGGGCTATGAAGGTCGACCCATCCAACAGAAAGAAAACGCCACTTTCTTGGGAAAAACCAGCGATTGGAACAGAATTCTGCAAATAACTCCCAGGGCTCCTCCGGACATGTGAAACAAAGAGAGTGGCCGTTTGTGCCATGACCGAACGCCAGCAAATGAACTCCTCGCATCTCCCAACAAAGCGATTAAGGCTCTAGCCATGTCTCGAAAGTTCATCCACAAACGGTCCTTCCGCGTGAGCTCCGTAGACCTCGTCTCAAGTCGCATGTCACGAGTCGCGGTGTGGAATGGGTAGCCACTCTGGCTCTCAGCTGCAGTGAGTTTGCCTTCAAAGCACCTGCACCACAATCACCATTCCCTGAGCAAAACCCGCACTCAAATGATTGAAGCTGGGAGTATCGACCCAGGGAAGTGGTTCACTCGCTGGAACTCGTTCATGTCCTGCGCGATGGAAACTTGAAAGCTCCCCATCCCAACATGCAACACCATTCCGGTTGACGTCTCTGTTCCACAGCAACTCTGCTCTAGAAAAAGCGGAAAGCTTAAGCCGGCGTCAACACTTTGCGCACTCGCGTCAAGAAGGACTCGCGAAGCACGCCCGCACCTGGTATGCAGGATCCCTGAGTCCAGGCCCTGACCATTGCACCAGCCAATCCTCAGAACCCCCCCCGCTGTCATGGGGACAGCCACGCTGTCGGCCAGTCAGTCGACCTCTCCTCTCGGCTGCATTCCGCAAGTAATCAACAAAGCCATGAGCAGATCATTCTGGGTGAACACCAATGGTGAGGCGCAGAGTGGAAATGGCGTGGGATTCCGAGAAAGAAAAGATCATTGTTAGGGGACCCTCCAAAATGGCTTCGGTGTTCCTTTCGGTTTCCTTTGAAAACCCGGGTGCCACGGAAAAAAGACAGTCCCATGTCCGTAGGATTCAAACAGATCAAGTTGGCTGCATCTCACGGGCTCCCGGGCTCTGCCACTGGTCTGTGTCATGCTGTTACTGAGCAGTGTCTCACGGACCACCGGCGCCTGATAAGAGCGTTCTAGGCTGAGAGCAGACTGCGAGATGCAATCTGACATGAACTCACATGGTTCCATGCACACGGACAAACATATTGTGTACTTGTGTAGGTGTTAGTGACAGCGCTGTAGTCACACCTAGCATGTGCAGCAAGACATGTCGTGTTGTCGGAGCATGCCGCGTCAAATACTAGTGTCCGTGCAAGTTATAGTTGAATGTAATGACAAGTGCGGACTATTTGATGATCTCCATCCGCGGAGGGGAATCGGCGTGATACACACCAGTTCCTTCTGCGTTTGGCATGTATCATCTCCCTACTATTTATCCGCATGGTTCACTTGTTTGGGCCCACATGTGTTTGCAAAGCACGGAGGTGGCTCAACGTCACACAGCATCACTATCCAGCATCACCTGCATGCCACTACATGCCCCCAATGACCCATGCAGCCAAATTGGCAAAAGCTTTCAAGTACAGTACAGCAACGGGCAGCCTTTCTACTTCATGTCTCTAATGCCCAGAAAGTTCTGTCTGGCCTCTGTGTGCTCAATGCGAAAGGAGGGAGTCAGGAAGCTCTGGCCTCGATGATAAGCTTACGCTTGGAAAATCAATATAGATGAAACTGAAACTCTCGATCACGTCTCATGTCGATCTGCTTGCCTTCCAATATTTGACCCCTGGCAGCCAGCTCAGCTGGCAGCAAAACATGTTGGAATCTCTCTCTTTGTTCTTCTCCTGCGCTGCATGGCAGATTGTTGGGGCAAACTGAAGCTGGTGGCAATGCTAGAGGTGGAAACACGGAAACAATGGTGAAAGCGCCAGGAAAATCAAACAAAAAGCCTGCCTCAGAATGTGGCGACCTCCTGTTTTTGCATCCGACATGCTTTGAGCGCAGCGGCGCATTCTTGCCGCAGGGCCTTCTTTGCCTTCGTAGCTCTGAAGTGCATGACACCAAGCTCCTGGGCACCCACACTTGAGACTGATTGTCTGCGGTGAGACATGTTCCCTCTTCGGGAAAGGCACGGAAAGGACCAGTCATTGGCGACACTTCGTGAGACTCAAACGAGAATTCTGCGGGGACTGCACAGGTCAACGGCTAGGTAAGCTGCCTCCTCAAGCCGCTGTTGCCAGCTTTTTAGCTTCTGGACTTGAGAAGCCTTAGCCTGAACAAACAGGTCCTCCCACTCGTCACCCATTTGCTTCACCTCAGCTGCGGGTACCAGCCCAATGCCAAACCTCCGCTTGAGCTCCTTGCCACTTCCCGGAGGCTCTCTTTGGCGTGCGCCGCAATCTTTGCCTCGCGGAAAGATCTGATGCGCTGCGAGCTCCAGGCACCGTCGGCCATGGCCCGGGAAGGAAAACATGGCGCCCAAATGTTGAAATCGGCAAGCGCCTCACTGTCCTCATGGCCATTTTCGTCCTCGGACTCGTAGCCTGAAGCATCTTTCTCACATCCCTTTGATCCCTGCCAGGCCAACCAATGAATAAAACATGAAATGGCAACAAATGTCTGGGCTTGACCTGACTCCCAGCACAAAACAACAAGCAACAAGAGTGACGCAACGCCCAGTACTATTGTTTGGCGAAGAGTGTCTCTCTGACCAGCAAGAGCTGTGCTGACGCCAATCGCAACATCTGGGACAACCCGCCTGGCACATGAGGCCAAAAACCTCGTGAGGGCGGCTGCATCCTCGGGTCAATCTCGAAGCTGGCAACTAAATGAGCGTCTGGCAAAGTCTCCTATGCCGCAAGTCCGGCCGATAGATTCAGTTCGTGAAGAAGGGACTCTCACCAACCCGTCCAAAAGGGACCAACGCTGCGCCATGGAAAACCAAGGCTTTTGTCTTG